GCTACACATCCAAGTACATGCTATCCCTAAAAGCTTGATTAGCCTACCTTAGAATATCACCAAGAAAACCATTTTAAAGCGTCTACATGTAAGTGCCAGTTGAATGTCTACATAAACTTCATTCTCTCAACAACATTCATTCTGAAAGGTTTGGGGCTCCTTGCATAACTCCTACGTGTATATTAACACTTGTCTTGACAACTCTCAAGTTAAACAAGTTATCATTAAATATACAGTGTTGAAATTTTAGCTTTAGGTATTCCTTTCTATACTTAAAAAGCAGAACTTCAAAACATGAAGCATTTTGTCAACACTGAAAGTCTTACGTTGTTACCATATAACAATGATAGCAACTGGATTACAATAATATACCATACCTTTTACTATGCATATTATACCAGGCAGACTTGTGAATTCCTAGTTACTCAATACTATAGCCACTATGTTGTAGATATTATAGAAATAATTTCAGTATGCTATGGATTTGTAAGCACACTGTCGACTGGAAGCTAAGGAGTATGACCCACTTGTATTATGTTGATGCTCAACAAAGATTTATTTTATCACATGTAACAGTGTTGATCATATACACAAACTGCACCACAGCACAGAAATCATCAAGCTAGACCAAGTTCTAGAATAAGTCTGGCTGAAGAAGCAGAGTTACTCATGGAGTAAATTATTCCATACAACATAATGCAGACATGCCCATATTCTCTCAGGAAGAATTTCACTCATAGAAAAACAACGTAACTAAGAATTTCAGGACCACTAGAACTCCTTAGTGAAGGAAAGCACCCCACAAGAGGATACGCTGTGGGGATGGCCAAGGATTCTACAGTCAGAGATCTGCCAGCCTGACAACTCCCAAACTTTTGGGTTTGGGATCCCTTCTTGTTGCCATCGTAGCTTGCCGGCTACAGAGGCAAGGAGTAATACTTTGTAGTAGCGAGATTTGCAAAAAGATTAGACTGAATATTGTAATATAAATTGCTATTAAAAGTGATTTGCATGTAACTGCCAGAAATGGGACAATACATTTATAACCACAGTCTCAAAAGCTGCTTAGGAATTCACACACGCAGTCACTTGCAAATACAGAGCCTCACACAAAGTATCCAAGGATCATCAGAAGCCCAGTTGGCCCAGGGATGAATTCTGGTAATCTCTGCAAACCCCGTTTCAAAATTCAGCATTAGCTTCTCCAACTAATGCCAACTGTCTTTCAAACTAATATTCAAAGACACACGTACTCCTATTCCTTCATGGTTTGTTACTGTTCTCAGTGTGATCTCTGATGCCCCTAACTTGAAGACAAAAAAATATATCGTCTTCTGAACATACCTCAATATATACCTGTCACCATATACCTGCCAGCCTGCATGAAGAGAAACGTTATTCACACTGTACAATTAAAAGTTCATATTAGACAAGAATTTAGACTATGTCACATTTATTTTAGAAATGTCTCAACAGCTTTTAGTTTAGATACAGTACTAAAAGGTCTCCATACCAAAGAGAACTTTATTTTGCTTCTTGTAACTTCTAACCCTCAATCTAAAACCAAGAATGCTATGAGAGTAAGAAAAATTTTTAGCTGCATTTGTACGTATTCCTGAAAGAATTTAACAAACAGTATATATCCCAAAACCTCATTTACAGTAATACAACAACAACATACTGCTTAAAGAATCTGCAACAAGTGCCACATGGAAACCAAAACACAAAACCTTGAAGCAGTATCATTTCGGTTTTAAGAATGTAAATTTTCTAGTGATCCACTCACAGCTGCTAGATTATGCACATTGCCTAAATCATCACCGATTTTAAGGGAATCTGATTAAAAAACACCCTCTCACTGCGTCATAATGATAGTACATTGACAGCATCATTTTGGCATTCCTTTGCTTTTTAGGACACGTTTTACTGCTTATTCTCAGTCATCTGTTTATTTTTGGCTTCATTTTTCTAAATACTGAAGCTGCCCTATCAGTTTCACAGGCTTATAAATGTTATACATCAAAAATTAGTTTCACTTATTAAAGCAGGAAACCGCTTTAAGAACTCTGGGATCTGTGCCTCAAAGCAAAAGCTTTATCAGCAGGTTCCAGTCACTGCTTCTTGCAAAAGAAAACAGTGCCGATTAAAAACCCATACACCTGATCTCAAAAAAAGAACACCTACCCACTGAACATTTTTCACATGGCAGCAAGGGGGCTGTACCCCTAACAGAAGGCAGCTCATTTCTCATAGCCTCCATAACCCTGCAACATTGCTCAAGAAAAATTAAGATATACTTAGAAAGATGAGGTCCAGATAAAAGAATAACAATTCATCCGGTTATTTCTCAGGACTTCATAAGCATTGTACTTCCATGCAGTCATAGTACAGTTCCATGACTGATGTTGTGACACTTGGAAGTAAGAGGGACACAATGAAACCACATACTCCAGAAAGTAATTAATTTATTTGCAAATATTTTTTAAAATTCATTTTATAAGTCATTTCTTTATATTGCAGAGGGAGAAGGAACGTTATGTTTTAACCAATACTATACATGAAGATAGCATTTTATTAATTGTACTTGTGTACAAAACAATGCTGTTTTGAATCAGCTTCTCCCATAACTGAATTCTTTTCTATAGCTCTTCACTGAATCAGAACTAGTCACTGTAAGGTTTTTCCTTAAAATAAAAGTGCTTTAAAAGCTTCATTTAAAAATATAGATTCTTTAAGATCACAAAGAAAAACCAATCTTGCAGTGAGTTACGTCGCACATCTTCACAACGGCAGAGCCCCAGTGAATTCACCGAGATTCTCTGCTCACAGAACTCCTCATGAGATCAAGTCAGAGTCATTTGAGTTTTCCTTCTCTCAACATACTATTTATTCAGATAAACCCACTTAACCAGAACCAAGTAAAGGCTGTGAATACTAATAACGCTCCAAGCATTTTGTTTTCAGAATTACAGCATGCTAATATTTGAAAGTCAACAATTTGGAGCTAATGTTCCACAAATAATAATATATTGCTGTAGTACATCATCTAGCATATCCCAGGTGCAATTCCATGGCTACTGAAATCAGACAGTATTTTATCATAAATATTACACAACCTTAGAACTTCTTACGTTAATTTGTTTTACAGTCAAACAATTTGCACTGGAACCTCAGTATGTTTTATTGATTATGATATTCTAACCACTTTAGATGGTGTAATGCCATTTGTGAAGAATATAAGGATATTTTTATATTTTATACACAAAAAGTAACATAACATTATCACTGTGAGAGGGCGGTCAGATTTAAAGGGCACATCAGGCTTTATTTCTATTACTTTCGGTCACGAATCAACATTTATACAGAGCGATGTTTTGTGATCACTAATGAAAAAGGCAGAGAGCATCTAGTAATTAGAAACTACCCTGAGTGACTAAATGTGGGTATTTCTAATGAATGTGTAAGAACACCCCTGGGGAACAGTTAGTTTTACATAAAATATTTACAGAACCTTAAGAACTGTATTTCCTGTTTCAAAAGCCATCTGTTTTTAAAGCAATCACAATATTACATTATATTGCATTAAACGAGATTTAAATCTGTAATTTAACATTAAGTCAGTTACAGCTTAGCTTGAAATACTGTTCCTAAACATTTTTATATATTTGTATCAAAGTGAGAAGTACTCAGAATTTTTATTTCCCTTTTTAACGCTTTTCCAATACCTTTCAATTTTACCAGTATGCACAGTAGATAGAAAATCCCCATTATCTCTATGAAGATGGAAAAGCATGGAAGATATCAGATGACTGAAAGTAAAAATTCTGTAGAAACTAAGTAATTAAGATGACTTTTAAGACAACAGCTTCTCCATTCATCTAGCCTTCTAGCATTATATATATATATATATATATATCTCTATATATAAGTATGTTTGTATATACGTATATATTTAATCTTACCTGGCTTCAAAACTATTCTAGCCATTCTTTTTATCTTGATTTTGTTCACATTTTCCCTGCCTGCACAAACAGAAGACACAACAGCCTACATAGCAGCAGCAGCAGTACGTCATTGAAATCTATTTACCATACATGCACCAATCAAACTGTATTTCTCATACCAAATCTCAGTTCACATAAGCATCTGACAGATTCTTTACTAGTTTAAGTGTTTGCTCAGAACTACATATAAGTTCAAAAGATCCAACTTTTGCAGCAAAAGCCACATAACCTTCATAAAATTACTCAGATGTACCAGCCAACAAGACAACCTCAGGAAAACATTGAGGTTTTTCCACCCAGACTTATTTGGAATTTTGTATTTAAACTAGAAATGAGTTTTTCCAGGGCAAAAGAAATACCTATCCATTCTATAAACATCACTCTAAGGGCTGTATCAAGATGTTTTGGTATCAGCTGCTCCCATAGCTCTCCAGATTTCTTCCAGCAATCAGCCCCTGACTACACAGATACACCACAGGGAGAAGCACTGACCCATCAGTTTGGGTATATCTGCCTTTATTCAGGGTGTGTCTTGACTTGAACTTGCTAGATCCCTACCCTTCTGCAGGCTTCCCAAGACATGGTCGCTTTTCGGAGAGCGAATGCAGAGAACAGTCTGAGGCACAGGGCACCCATAGGAAAAGAACATCCTGCCCACCCATTTTTTGGTTTGTCATGTGCAGGAAAAAAAAAAAAAAAAAAATCAAAAAGCTCAATACAGATGGCTAGCTATAGCCCAAGTTGTGGGGTCAAAAGCTTTAAAGTAAGGCCACTTGAGATTGTTAACCACTGTATTCTTCAATTTTTAGGTGTAACTACTACTGATCTAGTATTGCTTTGACAATTATAAAATCCTTCATTCATTGACAGAAAACAGACTTAGGAAATAGAAACGAAGCCCCAAGCAATCTTCAGTGCTATTGTAGTTGTGATGTTTTTTGCACAGATGTACAAAACTAAATGTTTTCTAAGAGTTTCTGTTAACGGGACACTTACCTCACGAATGGCTAATCTATCACTCAGCTCCTCAGCTTTATCAATGTCACCTTCAGCCACAGACTTCTCTATTCTAAGCTCAAGGCCAGACTAGAAAGAAAAAAGCAGAAGTTCTTAGGATATATGAACAAGAAATAGTATTTCTAAAGTGAATATCTCATTTTTAAAGAATATTTCTTTCATAAAATTCTTCATTTTAAGACATTCCATAAACCTGTCATTCCTATGTAAAACAAATCACTCCGTCTATGTATTGTAACGGACAGTATAATTAAGAATTCACTCAAAGACTGTCTGAGCACAAATCATTGCATTAGTTCCGCCTTATGTGCACGATAATACTATAGGTTAAAAAAATTACACGGACTAGTTTATGCCTGTCACAATAAAATTTCATCTGAAGATCTTGCTTATCTCTTCCATCCCTGGAGCTTTCTAAATAAAAATGTGAAATGGGTGTCAGGTAACATGAAGAACGGCAATTACCACTGTATCGTTACAGTTTTAAGATCTTATCTTCATTCAAAACCTGAATTCTGGCATGGTGCCGCTCCATTGTACTAATAAATTCAAAATTCTAGCAGTCCTACGTAAAACAATGAAAAAGCTTCAGAATTTTTTAACCTCTGAAAACAATGAAATAACCTTTATGATCAATATCACTTCTAACTTGTTTAGAGATAACATTTACAAATAATGTAACAATAAATGGCAAATAAATATTTACCAGAAACTGTAATTGGAAATTTCTGAAGGAATATAGAGGGCTAGTAGTATTGCAAGTTACACTGGCTTTCACAAAAAAAACTCTCTCATGAAAAAAAGACTTTACAGCTTCACTGGATTTAAATATTAGTAATACTAAAGAAAAAGTATATCTGGCAGTTTTGTAACATATACTTCTGTTAAAAGAGAGAAAAGCAAAAAAACCAGCAAAATTAAGAAACAAAGTGCAGTATTTGCAGGGTTAATTATTCAGATGGAAGTTTAAAAAAACCACACAATTCAAAGGTGCAGTGATAGCCAATTCTGTTGGATGTCTTTTCTGAAAGAAGAGCGAGAGTGATACAATTTCTTAGCTAGGTGGAGAGCATCTGCTTTGCAACACTTTAAACTACTCCAGATAGGTCTGGAGTAAAGGCCCAATGAAATCTGGATTTCTACCAAAAGGAAGAACTCAAAAAGTGGTCAGTGTCTCATCATTTGCACATAGAAATTTACTTTAGGCAAATGAAAAACAGAAAATTTATGATAAGGAAAGTGACGCTAACTAAACATTTGACGCCACAAAACTTGCACAGGCCTCCGCTGGAAAAGCTACAGAACAAACAATGTTATGAAGAACTCACTGAATAACAAGTTTGACTTGTCCATCTTGCTGTACAATTGGCTTAAAATATGACTAGCTATTCAAAAATAACTTGTGAACAGAGTGTGCCCAATAAAACCATACAGTAGATTTGGCCTTCTAATGCCTACAGGTAGTGGTTTCAACTGAAGGAATTAGTTGATGCATTTTAAACTTAAAACAATTTCAAAAAAATAATCACTGTAGTTAAACAACATGCAAAGAAGTATTTTGTTTCTCATGAAACAACACAAAAATAGAAGAGAAATAATCACACATATCATGCATATTATTCTTCAGGGTGACATAATCACTTATGCCCTTTCAGAGGGTCTCAGGTTTATTCATATTTCAGTTAAGGCTGACTTCTTTTACTATAAAGTACAAGCTGACATTGGCTTTATATCAACAGTCACCTTTTGTGGAGCCCTGCTATTCACAAGTGGTTCAAATCTGTCATTGATACCAAAGTATTGTGTAAGTTCTTTCCACTGGGCTTCATTTGCCAACTGTTGA